GGGGGGGTCAGGATTTAGGGGACCATTCCTGGGGTGAGGAGGGGTCCGGGGAGGTTTGAGGAGGGGTCTCACCCCCGCCTTGTCCAGGAACAAGTGGCAGAATTCCAGGAATTGCTTCCTGCCCTCCTTGGGGTTCATCCTCCGCATCATGTCCACATGCAGGTAACAGAGCTGGGGGGGAGGGGATGGGAATGGGGTGACCCCCGCCCCCAAATAAATCCAGTCCGCCCCCCCCAAACTTTCCCCCTCCTCTATTTTACCTCGGCTGCAGCCCCTGCCGGCGGGGAGGGGGGAACAGAGACAGAAGTTACTCCCAGGGTGTAGCCCCCCCACCCTTGGGCGCCCCCCTGGGGAAACGTCACCCTCAGCACCCCCTCCCCCCCAGTTTGGGGGGGGGTCTCTGGGGGGGTGCGGGAGCCCCCTCCCCATCTCACCACGGGGCAGGAGTCGAACTGGAGCACGACGTGCTGCAGGAAGGCCATGAGGGACAGCGGGTGCTGCCGCAGCAGCTCCAGGCTCTGGAACTGGCTGTTCTGCTCCTCGGGGGTCTGGGGAGGGGACGCGGGGGGGGGGGGGTCAGGATCTGGGGGGGAAACGCGGGGGGTTCCCCCAGGGAGCCCCTCCCCACGCTCACGGGCTCGATGTCGTTTTCGAAGTCCTCGTCCTCGGCACCGATGATGGCAGCGGCCGGAGGGCCGCGGGCACCCGCGCACGGCGGCTTGGGGGGAACCGAAGGGTCGGGGGGGCCTCGCCGGGGTCCCCCAGGCTCCCCCAGCCTGAGGCCCCCAGGACCCCCCAGTCCTGTGACCCATCCCCCCCGGCACCCGTGACCCCAAGACTGAGACTTCAGGATGCCAGAAACCCCCAGGACCCCCCGAGACCCCCAGGACCCCCTCCGAACCCCCGGGACGCCCAGATGCCTCAGATCCCGGGACCCCCGAGACCCCCCCAGACCCCTGCGATCTTGGGGACCCCCGGGACTCTTAAAATCCCCCAAACCCCCAAAACCGCGGGGTCCCCAAGGCCCCGCGACTCTCGGGACCCCCAGGGCCGCGGGATCTCGGGGGGTCTCCGGACCCCCCCAGGGGTGGGGGGCTCCGCTCACCCCACTGAGACCCTCCTCCGGCTCCATCCTGCTCGTGGGGGGGCTCGTCCTGTCAGAAGTTTGAGGGGGGGGGGGCTCTCAGGATTTGGGGGAAGTTGTCAGGGGTCGGGGGGGTTTCTTCGCCCCCCCCCGCCGCGGTTCTGGGGAGGGGTCGCGGGTGGGGAGGGGGCGGCGCCGCTCTCCGGGGCCGCACAAAGGGCCCCGTTCGCACCGGGGCGGGGCGAGGGGGGCCAGGGCGGATCCCCCCAAAAACCGTTTCGGGATGGGGGGACACGCGTGGGAATCCGGGGGGCGCCCTCGGGGGGCCAAGCGGAACTTGAGGGGCGCTTTGGGGGGGTAGCGGGGGACTTCGGCGATGAGGCAGCGGACCCCCGCCCAGCCCCCCCCCATACCTGTTTCCGCGCTGGAGAAACGATCCAGG